CATCTCAATTGTAATCCCCGCAGATAAACTTTTATACCAAAGGCTACTTTATTTTATACTTTACCCAAAGAATAAACAAATGGTAGCTGAGAAAAAAGGAATGTTCACATGCAAATGAATATGCATAAGCATTTCTGGATATGCTGGGCATTATGTGCAAATGAAGAGAAACTGGATACACACACCCCAATTTCACTCCAAATATGGAACATTAATTCAAATGGATCACTATCAGATCTTAAGTAACAGCTTAAACTATGAAAACAAGGTAAATCTTCACTTTAGATTCTCAGAGCTGATACTGAAAACATGAATAACAAAAGAATAATAAACTAGAAATTATAAGTATGAAACATTTTTGCATATTAAAAAGCACTATCAAGATATGTAACTCCCATATAATGGAAGAAAATATTTGCAAACATGTATCTTATAATGGTTTAGTATCCAAAATATATAAAGAACTCTTAAACTCAACAACAAAAAGACAACAAGCCAAGTTAAAATTGGACAGAGGAATTAAATAGAAAATTCTGTAAAAATACACATCTGGCCAACAAACACATGAAACAATGGTCAACATTATACTCGTTAAGGAGCTGTAAAAGAGAAACCACAATGAACTACTACTTCACACTACTAGAACTTCAATTAAAAAAGACAAAACAGGCCCTCCCTGGTGGCGCAGCAGGTTAAAGCACAGCACTGAGAAACTAAAGCCGCTTCCCCTTGAGTTCGATTCCCCGCCTGCCCCGGAGGTGACCACATGGCGTGGCAGACCTCTCCTGACCCGCCCGCTGCTCCCCTCAGCAGTGTACTTCGTTGATCTGTCCTGCTCCCCACTCTGTCTCCGGTGAAGCCTCTCACCACCCCTGAGCCTCTGGCCTGTACCCCAGTTCTGTATGCACAAATAAATAAATCTTTAAAAAAAAAAAAAAAAAGACCAAACAGGCCCTCCCTGGTGGCGCTTCAGCATGAGTTTGATTCCAGCCAGCCCAGGAGGCAGACCTCTCCTGACCCACCCACTGCTCCCCTCAGCAGTGTACTTCATCAGTCCTCCTGTTCTTCTCCCCACTCTGTCTCTGGTGAAGCCTCTCACTGCCCTTGCACCTCTGGCCTGTACCCCAGTTTTGTAATGCATAAGTTAATAAATCTTTAAAAAATAATTAAAAAAAGACAAAACAGAAAATTAATTAGTAAAAGTGTAGAGAAACAGGAACTCTGTATATTGCCTGTGGGTCATACAGTGCATTAAGATGCTGTGCAAAAGAACTGGGCAGGTCTAAAAAAAATTAAGCATACACTACGCACTTATTAAAATGACCGAAATCAAAGCCCTCTCTGGTGATGCATGGGTTAATGTCTCAGTGCTGTCAAGCTACAGGCAGCCACTGAGGCATGAGTTCCACCCCCAGTCAGGGAATGACCCACAGGATGCAGCAGACCTCTCTTGTCTCACCTGCTGCTCCCCTCGGCAGTATATTTCAGTAGATCTACCTGTTCTGCTCCCCACTGTGTCTCTGGGGAATCCTCTCATCTCCTTTCCCCACAACTTTGGCCTACATTCCAGTTCTTTGATGCATAAATAAATAAAAATAAATCTTTTTAAAAAAATTATCAAAATTCACAACTCTGACACGAAGAAGTGCTGACAAGGATGTGGAACAATGGGAACTCTGGAGGCCAGCTTAGTATAGGTTTCTCATGTTTAGGTTTCTTAGCATATGGTCCAACAACATGCACATTCCTGAGTGTTGACTTGAAGGAGTTGAAAACTATGTCCACAAAAATTCCCACACACAGATGTTGATAACAGCTTTATTCGTCATTGTCAAAACTTGGAAGCAACCAAGATGTCCTTCAGTAGGTAGATGGTACTTCCAGACAATGAAATATTATTCAGCAGTAAAATGAAATAAACAACCTGCACTGAGGTGGGAATCCAGTTAACACTTGATACAGGGGCACTTGTGGTGGGCCTTGGTGGATGAAAAGGAGATGCATGAGGACTGCAACACAGGTTAAGATATGTGGCAAAGCCAAATTAAAAAAATAAAAAGAGAACCATGCACCCCCATCTCCAAAAAAGAAATGAGTTATGATTCCATGAAAAAGCATAGAAGAACATTACGTGCATGTAAGTCAGTGAAAGAAACCAATTTGACAAAGTTAATACTGTATGATTCCAACTATATCACATTCTGGGAAGGTGAAACTATGGTGACAGTAAAAAGATCAATGTTTGCCGAAGGTCGGGGGGGAAAGTAAGGAAATTAACAGAGTAGAGAGGATTCTTAGGGCAGTGAAAATTCTATGATGATAGATACATGTCATTATAGGTTTGTCCAAACTCACAGAGTATATACCAAGAATGAAGCCTAAACTAAACCTAACCACACGACATGAACACAATCTGACAATGCAGGCTCATCAGTGTAGGTAGAGAGGGAATCACTCGTTGGGGAATGTTGACAATGGAAGCTGAAATAAAGGAAATCTCTCTACCTTCCCCTCAATTTTGCTGTGATCTTAAAGCTGCTCTAACAAAGCCTTCACTCATGTGTGTGTACACACGCATGAACACGCATGTAGAGAATTACCACTGCACCCAGCAATTCTAATTCTAGGTATATACCCAAGAGAAACGAAAATATGTCTACACAGAAACTTGCACGTGAATATTTATAGACATTTCAAGGTCAATTCATTTATAAATACAATCCTGTATCAGCATTATTCATGATGGCCCAAAGGCAGAGACAATCCAAATATCCACCAATGGCTGAATGGATGATCCAATGCGATATATACATAAAATGTGTGATCATTAACAGGAATGAAATATTGAAGTACTAATACATGCCACAGTGTGGATGTACCCTGACAACATTTTGCTAAGTGAAAAGAAGCAAAATGCAAAAGATCGCCTATGATATGTCATTTATATGAAATATCCTAAACAAGTAAATCCACAGACAAAACTGGTGGTCACCAGGGAGAGGTGAGAGCAACCGCTTAACAAATACAGGGTATTTATTCTTTTGGGGTGATAAAAACATTTTGCAATTTGGGCCTCAACAGAAAATATGCAAACAAGGGTAAAAGAAATATGATAGGGAAAGTATTTTATAAAACAAACTGTCCAAGAGAACATTTCCCCAAACAAAGGTGTAGGGAAAGAGATCACAGGGTCTAATTAAAGAGAAAAGGCAGAGCTAAAAATCACTGATTACTTTGTGGATAAAAATTCTTCCTTCCAATGATTATTTCTCAAAATGTAATCCCTGAACTACAACGAAAATCATTTAAGAACTTGTTTTAAAAAGTCAAATTTCTGATCTGTGCCCCACAAAATCATCAAAGATGGAACACAGGAAACTGTATTTTTGTAAGCAGAACAAATGATTCTTAAAGGAGACTAAGGCTTGGGAAGTAATTTCTAGTGCAAATTAATGCAAAAGAATAAATATATGTAACAGTCAAGAAAATACTGACGCAAGCATACGCACAGAAAAGGAATTTTAAAAGTCAAGGGGAAAAAAAACACTTAAATTTTTGGTATGTTGTGCTGTTCAAAAATCTTGTGAATTTGATGTTGGAAAAAAATCCTAAATGTGTAAGCGTGCTAACATCTGTGAAAGCACCTAGGATATGACGTAGGGAGCACTCTCAAATGTATAGTCTGTGGTGCAGAGTAGGTAGGTAGAAGGTGTGCAACTGTTTGCTGACAATTTTTATTTTTAAATTTTTTAAAATTTTAACTATTTTTATAACAAAGCATGGTTACATTTAATTATCTCTATCCCCAACTCTGATAACCTACACAAAACCAAACATTTTGTGTGCTATTTCGACAACAGCACAAATTATCAAAAATTATGTCAGACACTGACAAGCAAGCTGAGGATCAGGTTCACCTCTATTTTTCTGATCACAAGTAAAACTAGAGTTAAGTTTCTCAATACTGGAGTATTGCATGGTAAAACTCAAATTTCCCTGAACACGCACCCAATTTGTATGGAAAGACAGTCTTTATTATTCTGACTAAATTCCTAAAGATGAAGCACTACCTTTCTCATAATTTAGTGAGGAAACTACACTTTGGGTTAGCAGGGATAGAGAAAAGAAGTTTATATGACATAACTCTCAAAGCATTTAAGAGTGTAAAATTTGTCCATTTTTCCCATATAAAAAAAGCGCCTTTTGTCTATAAACTCAAAAACCCAAATGAAGCTTATTGGGATCACCTTTATAATACATTTGGAAACCTCATTACAGTACATCTAACTCTGAGATTAGATGTGTTTCAACATTTCCAGACACGAATTTTGCAAAGCTTATAAATGCAACAACTGTACTAGGGAGGTGAATAGCCCAATACATGTAGATAAACTACATGGGAAGTTATGCTGCTTTCAAAGGAAATTTTTATTTACCAACCTTTGGCTTGATACATGAATTTCAGGTCTAGAAGCATCTGAAAATTCGGACTTTTTTATGTTAACAGTTGATGTTTCAAAAGGCAGAACTTCATAATTAAGTCTTAAAAGCAGACAATACAAACGTGTGGACTTCACCAAGATCTCACATTTCCTTCCCAGCAAGCAGTAAACCAATAATTCACCCTTCAGTCCCTAACCCCAACTCCCTAGACATCCCTCCTCTGTTCAGTAAAGCCTCTTCACACAAGTCCAGTCCCATCCACACAGACATACACACACCAGTCTCCAAGTCTCCACACTGGCAAAACGGCCTTTCAATATTTATCTGGTTGCAAATCAAGGTCAATTCTTCCTTCTTCCACTAACACTGCAGATTTGACACTCCCTCCAACCCCGTTCCCTTCCTACAACAGTCACTACTCAGAGCAACAAAGAACCAAGTCCCATCTCAGTAACTGCACAACTTAACTTCATACACCTCCTTTCCCTCCCCCACCCCCTTACTCTATCTCGCCTTTGTTGTTCAAAAGATGCAAAGTCTGGGAAAATCTCACTCACCTCATGCTATAGGCACCAGCACCCAGTTCCTGGCCGATGCCAGACAGACTAGCATCAAAGTCCTGCACCAGCCCGGATTCAATCACTTCATCGGCCAGAGGCAGCTTCAGAGCCCAGGCCATTCTGGCTCCTTCCTTGCCCTAGGAGACACCGTTTCTTGTACAAAGGCGAGCAGTGTGAAGATCCCACCCCAAAAGAACGAGGCTACAGAAAACTCCAAAAAGATCTCCCACCCGGTACCCCCTAGCCGACCCGAAGTCCGACCCGTCCAACTAATCTCCGGAGCCTTTGGCTGCCCGGACTACCAAAATCCCTCTCACCCAAGCGTTCCGGAGCCACGCGATCCCCCCCTTTGCCTAACAATCTCCAGACTGCTCAAAGGCAGACCAGGATTCCCGCACTTCAACCCCTCGTGCTGCCCCTCTGATCTCGCGGTCATTCGTTTCTTTCCAGACCAGCAGCAGGCGTCCCGCCGCCGGCCCCGCACGGTTCTCGCACCTCTCCCCCTGCACCCTTCTGCCGGAAGCCCCCTCCCTCCGCGGACCCACTCCCCTTTCCCCTCCCGGCCCCGCTTCCGGTCAGTCCCAAGATCACTTCCGGTCACACCTCCTCAAACCCGCGACTCTTAGAACCAAACCCTCATTTCTACCGCGTTAACTCCCACCCTGTGCAGCGCCCCCCGCCAGGGCCACGAAACATGGAAGGGGAAAGTCCAGCACCGGCTTGAAAAACAGACTCGCCAGAACCCCTGCCCCCGCGTCAACCAATCGCGGCACCGTCTTCCCTTGCGGGTCCGGCGAACGGAACGTCATCCCGCCGCTCGCCAATGACGGAGAGACCGCGTTGGCCTGGGCACTGATGATTGGCTAGCTCTGCGACTGGTCCCCGCCCCCGAGGTGGGCGGGGCGGCCTGGGAGTGGAGTCGGCGTGTCTGAGGCGTTCGGGTCGGGACGCGGGCAGGTGTGGGTGCTTTAGTTCTGGCTTAGGTCGCGCCTGAGGTGGGGGTGGGTCCTTCACGCCCACGTTACTGAACCCACCCCCAGCCCCCGAGGACGCCTGACCTTTTTCGAAACGCTCCTGACAAGCGCTCCTTGGCTCCTGGCATAATGTCCCTAAACTCCACCCCCCACCCCGCCCCCGGTGGATTTAAATCCCTTACCACGTTACGTCCATTCCCCGCAACGCCTTTGAAAGGGAGAGTTTGAGATAGGTGAAAGTGGTGATGTTTTTAATAGGCGAGCGTCATTTACTTTAGAATTACCGCACAATCTCACTGAGATCTAGCATCCTCGTTTGAAAATTAGGTGTAACACACCTACTCCCCCTTCATCCCTTGAGATTTAATGATAAATATCTTTTTTATTAAGCGTCATCTGTATGGCATTATCGGCAACCCTCAGACAATCTTGTGACTAGAACTATAATTCTAAAGGTATTATTGTGACCCTCACTCTACCAATAAGGAGAGGTGGTTAGGGACTTCAGGTGTCCAGAGCTAAACAGGCATGAACGTAAGAACTGATTCGAAAGCTGACATATTTTCACAAGACAGTGCCTTTATGTGAGGGTATTAGTTCATCATATTATTAAAGTAATAATATTTTTACAGTCTGTCGAGTTGTAATTTTGTATATATCTGTTTTTTACCAACAGACGGATTAAACAATAGAGATGTCTTTTCCAGGCTTGTATTCTTAATATCTCCTAAAATAGTTCTGCACTCAATAAGGCTTTAAAATACTCACTGAGTTGAAAAAGAAAGAAGGAATGTTCCCAGTTTCAACCACAGGCTTTAGAAACAGCCCACTGAGGTCAAGTTCTGGTTCTGCTGCTCACAAACAAAGCAACTCTGAGTAGATTCCTCATCTTCTCTCCACTTAAACTCCTTGTCTGTAAAGTGAGTATCATAAAGTTTCTTACTGTGGAGATTTATGTGAGACTGAACTGAGAGAACACAGTTGGTTGGCTAGGAGAGGGCTATGTATAAAGTGAACAGTAAGGAGGACTGACCAGTATTATGATGGGCAAAAAGGGGACCCTCACACCTTGCCTGTGCATCTCTTCTGTCAAATCCCTTCTCGGGGATCAGCACCCACCCACTGCCAGGCTTCCCTTCTCACTCACTCTAGCCAGTCTTCCTTGCTGGGTTCCCACAGCAATTGCTGGGCATGTTCCTCCAAGTTCAGGAAGAAACCATTATCCAGGCAGCCTTTTTTGAGGGACTGACCCTCTAACTATAACTCTCCACGTCTGTCTACGCCCTCCCCAGGGAGTCTGTGAGGCCAGTCTGTCTTCTCTGAAGGACCCTGCAGTTGAGAGAAGAAGCAATCACTAGTGTTTATGGCCACACAGTTCCAAGCAACTGCAGATTCCCTTTATTCCTCATCTCTAGTTCAGACACCAGCCCACTTCTTCTCTGGTCTGTGGAAGGTCAGTTCCCCCTTAACTGCCACCCACAGCACAGTGGACCTCCCAGACCTGTGAGTAGAAACTGCACTCTCCCAACCCACTCTCTTCCTTTTAAGTCCTCCTGTGGCCATCTGCAAAGGACCACATTCAACAGGTCTGAGCCAGAGAGACCAGCCTCCACTGACTTTGCTGAGGGCTGCCTCTCTCCAGTCATGGCCAGTAGCTGCTGGGCCTCTGGCCTCTCCCACAAGTCACAATATAAATTGTGTGGAGCTAAGCAGAATCCTCTCTACCTCCTTTCTCCTAGTAGCCTGAAGTCAGGGACTCTGCTCTCTTATTCCTTCAGGAAGGACACTCAGACATCCGTCTGCATTTATTGAGCACTTGCTGTGCGCCCCTGGCTTGGGTACCCAGGAGTCACAGACTTCTAAGAGCAGCTAATACGCAGCAGCCGGTGCTGGTTTTTGCTTGAGTTGCTGCCCCGTGATTTGCTGTACATCCCGTTGATCCCTAAGCCTTGCCTCAGAATCAGGATTTATGGCCCCTGGGTGGAGATGCAGAGGTAGCTGGTGACCCAACACAGTACCTGGCTCAGGAGTGCTGGCTCCGTGGACTCAAGGCGATGCCATTTAGAATGTCACTCAGACCTCCCCACTACCAGCTGTGGAAGGGGAAGGAGAGAGGGCATGAACCCTACACCTGGGAGGTAGCTAAGTAAGGGAGACCCTTTTTACAGCCATGCTCCCCCAGCTCTACGCCCAGGTGGCAGACCTGCCCCTAACATTTACAGGCACAAATGAAGACCCACTTTCCCCCATTCAAAGTTTTCTAAAGTCTAAATCAAGCTAACTGTGGGCGTTCTAGCCTCCTATCATGAAAAGCATGTCTTCATAACCACCTGGAAGGCCAGGGTTGAATTTAGACTTCTAAGACTCCTTGAATTTCTCTGTGAGAATGGCCCTGATTCTGGCTCACAGCCTACAACCTGCCTTCTCTTCCTCTCCACAGCCCCATGAAGCCCAGGGCTTCATGGACATGTTAGACACTGCTGTCTACGCATCCAAGCCTCATCCACCCTCTAAAAAACAGCTGCCCCCTGGCCACTCTCAGGATTGGGAGTCTGTGCGCCAATAAGACATCTGTCATGGTGATGTCTCCCCTGCATTCCTTCCTCCATCAATGGGTACCCCGAGAAGAGGGTGAGGAAGCAGGTGCTTCTGGGGTCCTAGCCACCTGAAAGCCGTCTGGAAGAGAGAAGGCGCATTCCCCTGACCCTGCGCCTGGTGGAGGGGCTGGTGGCTGGAGAGCTGGGTTTTCTGGTAGAGGTCTCAGCCATTGCCCCTCGACCTCTCTAGTAGGGATTTTCCAGCTACAAACTCTGAGAGCAAAGGCAGTTCTTGGCACTTCCTTGGTCTCTGATCCTGGTTCCTTTATGCCCTACCCTGAGAGATGAAGGAGAAACAAGAAAGAACACCTGTACAAAAGAAAAATACTGTTTATTCCACACAACTACATCAAGTGTTTCTCCCCCATCCCCCCCTTCGCCCCGCCCCCACACCTCACTCCAGCCCATGGCAGGCTTTGGCTCATGTCAGGGACTGTCAGAACCTTATTGTCAGAGCCTGGTCCAAGAGTCAGGAAGGGGATCCAGGTAAGGGAACGTGATTGGATTTCCAAGGACACGAAAACATCAAGGTCTCTCATTCCACATTCAAGTGTGTTCCTCAATCCACTTGGCAGAATTCTTTCCCTGAACCCCACCTGGATAAAATGCTTGGTCAGTGCAGGATCAAAGGCCCCAGCTGATTCACAGGACCATAGAAAGTTTTGGTCTTTCATTGAAAACAAACAAACAAACAAAACTACACACAAATAAAACCACAAACAGTTAAACCATTCTTGCCTGTTTGCTTGCCTTTCCAAGGCAAAGAAGTAACTAAGCTCTGGCATAAGTCCAGAAAGGAGCTTTCAAAACAAAATTCATATCAGCCCCCTTCAGAGCCCAATACTACCAAAAGCAAAACAAGAAAGCCAGCTCAGCGCCTGGGCTGCTTCCGGGGATCCTGTGGTGGGATTTGGGGGGGGGGGGAGACCAAACGCAAAGATGGAAGGCTGGCTTGATTCTGAGCATGCTTCAGGTACCTGAAGGCACCCCCTGCTGGGGAATTCTGCCAGCCAACTTTCTGCCTCTGGTATTGTTCCTCTGAAAGCTGACCCAGCCTCCTGCCGGATGAGAAACGGTTTCATTCCAGCCAGGCCTTGGGAAGACCATTTACATGAGGGAAGAACTGAGATCGCAGGGCCCGGTCTACCTTTTCCGGCCTCGCCAGCCATGTGCTCTGTGTACCCACCACCACAGACACACCCTGGATTATATGCTACTCCTGGGGCACCAGGGGGACTTGTGTCCCCCAAAAGCAAGCATATCTGCAATTAGTGTTTGAGGGTGAAACCTGCATCTCTCTTAACTCGTTGTCACAACCCTGTACCAACGCCAGGACAGACTACGCGTGCTGAAGATGCGTTTACAATGCCCCTCCTAGGTGAAGGCGCAGCAAAATGACGCAGGGTCATCCTGAATTTGAGTGTGTGTCTCCCCCCGTGGAGTCCGCTGGGCGGCAGCAGGAGCAAACAAGATGCCCCCCAACTTCCTCAGTCCCCATGAGCCTTAATGTCCCCACCTCCTGTCACACTGTAAGAGCTTTGATTGGTCCAAATGTGGCAGGGGGGGGAGGGAGGAGGAGGAGGCAGGCAATTTGATATACAACTGCCCCCTCGATGGCAGGGCTAATGAAAAGGGTGGTCACCCTGGCATTATGGAGCCAGCTGTGGGCAGTGAAGGAAACGCAGCAGGCCAGAGGAAGCAAGCAGGTGAAGGAGGTCTCCGCCAGGGACCAACAGAGAAGGCCAGGTGCTCTCTCCTGGCAGCCAGCTCAGGGGGTATGAAGTGAGGTGAGACGCCTGGCCCTGGCAGGACAAGAGCAGTGAAGAGGCAGTGGTGGCCCTGGGACCCGCGGTCCTCCAGGGAGCCCACACAGCAAGCCTGGGCTCACCTGAGCACACCGACCGGGGCTCTCCTACGGGCTGGCTGGCTGAGCTCCGGTTGCAGGTGCAGCCAGACCAGAGACGCACTAGGCAGCTGGACCCCTGGGCCTCGGCTCCCTCTCCAGGGCAAGATCTGCCCTGCCCCAGAGCCGCCCTGGGACACCGATTACACAAGCAGGGCGACTCTGGGCCAGCTAGCATTTCTCCTCCAGTACCCAGGGCTTCAAGCTGCAGCGAAACTGGAGTTAAGTCACCTTCCATGCAAGACCTTTGTGCGTGTCTGCCATCGGGTCTTTCTGGAGGGTCACCTTCCCCCAGGCCTTGCTGTCTAGCTAGTGTGTAATTTGCTCCTCTGAGAAGCCCTTGTTCAGGGTTGGAGGTGAGTGTGAGGACAGGAGAGAGGGAGTCGGTGTTCCTCTCGTCACTTTACCCCGTCGCCTGCTTGCTTGGGCAGCAGGGTTTTCTAGGGTGCCAGTTCTCTTACCCACATTTGGGGGCGGGGTAGGGGGAGAGGGCAGGGAGGTTTGGCCATGGACTGGAGAGATGGCCTTCCTTACTAAGTTCCCCACCTGCTGCAGACCAAGGTCAATTCCAGGACGGCCGGTTCACGGCTGACTCCTCCTCACACCAGTCACAAAAGGTTCTGTTTTAGTGTTACTACCAGCCCCCCACCCCCCAACACAGGAACAGGGAGAGGAGAGGGGATCACATGCTCTGGCCCAGGGCTGTGGGAGGCTTCTAACCTCAAGGTCAAGACCAGCACTGAGCCTGACCGCTGAGCAGCATCATGCCCTCCTGCCTGGGTCCTTCTGAGGGCCGCTGCCAGCAAAGCGGACAGACGAGGCCGGAGCCGCCTGGCCCGTGCACACACAGCAACGAAGGACAGGCGGGACACAACCACCGAAACAGGAGCTAATGGCCGGCGGTCCGTGGGGGCTGCGGGAGGCCACCCCAGCCCAAGGAGGCTGGAGCCAGGACTCACCCGTCAGAGACCAAGCTAGCAAAGTGCTTTTTCAAGTCACACCACGACCCCTCTCCCTCGGCGCCCCAGCCCCGAGCCTGGGGCTCTGCCCTCCCCGTGATGTGAGCTGGGGGGCAGGAGGGGCTGACGCACATGCACACAGTGTAGCCTCACGACCTGGGACAAGCACGTTCGCAGGTGGCAGGATGACGGCGCTGTCACAGCGGCGGCCACCGAGGGACAAGTACAAAGTGCTGAGACCGGGCCAGCGAGCCCTAGGGAATCTGAAAGACATTCAGCTTGCTGGTGTTCTTGAGCGTCTGACGCCGGTTGCAGAACCAGACCCTCACGACCTCCCGGTCGTAGTTGAGCTCCTTGGCGATCTCCGTGATCTCCTGGCCCGTGGGCAGGGGGTTCTTCTCGAAGTAGGCGTTGAGAGCCTCGATGGCCTGCGGGGTGAAGGAGGTGCGGCGCTTGCGTTTCTTGGAGGGTTCGCCTCCCACAAACTCCATCAGGTTCTGCTGGCCTTCCTGGTTCCGGAGCTCAGCTTCGTTCAGCCACTTCTCCAGCACCGGTTTCAGCTTCTGGGCACTCTTAGGTGTGATGTCCAGCTTCTCGAACCTGCAGGGGGCCCAAGACCAGGAAGGGGTGGTGGGAATTCTTCATCCCCACAACCAGGTCGGCACTTGTTTGTCTTGGCGTTCCCCTCACCACCTCCACCAGCACCCCTCCGGCTGGGCCAGCTGGGACTCCTCAGTCTGTCCTGAGTCCCAGGTCAGGCTAGGGAGACCCGTCCCACGGCGTCAGCTCCGTGACGTAGTGATGACGGCGCGGCCACTGTGCGGGAGGATGAGCGGGGTCTCTGAAGGGGTCATCCCGAGAGGCCTCCAGACAGCACAGGACGTCACGAGTGCCGTCCTCCGCCCTGTGTCCCTAAGTCAGACCCCGGTTTCTGGCCGGCCCGGGGGAGGGGGAGGCTACAGTGTTAACCTCCCTCATGGAGCTGCAGACAGGTGGGGCCTCTCGGCTGCCCCCGAGTCATGCACTGAGTCTCCTTCGGCCACCCACCCTTTGGTATTAACGTCAGCTCTGGCTCCTACACCGCGCACAGAAGAGTCAGCAACGTCACTCCAAACTCACACCTATGTGGGGGAAGATGGGAGCATAACAGGCATGATGGCGGCTGCTTGGGCGCCCAGCCAGAAGGAAAGGGCTCACTCCCATAATGGATTTCCCAAGCTGTATTCCTTTTCCTGTGCAATCCCGGAGTGGATTACGACCTCGGCTTCCATGCCGCCCCCCGCCCCCCCCCCAAAGATTCAGGATGGGAGGATAAACCTCAGATGACCAGCTCAGAAGGACCGGATCAGTCTTTGACTACTCCAAATGTTCATTCAACATTTAGAACACTCTTCCTCTCTGAAAGAAGGCAGGCGCAAGGGGGTTGGGGTATCTGGAAGGAGGCCAGACTGGGATCGGGGAGTGCCCCGTGACCCGGGCACCTCAGCAGGTCCTGGGCCGGCCTGTCAGGGCGAGCTTACTCACCGGCAGATGGCTGACTGGCTGTAGGCTGGCCCTTCCGTCGCAGTCAGAGCCTGACCCACCTGGGTCTGTGTGAGGCCTAGAGAGAGCCTCCGGATCTTAAAGTTCTTGGCAAACTCCCGGATCTCTTCTAGGTTGATCCCATCTTCATCCAGACTTGGGGTATGTGGCTCTAGGCCAGAAGAAGGGGCCACAGGTGAGTGCATAAGACAGGTAGGTTTCACTACTTAGCCCATGGTCTAGTCAGGTCTGTGGTGAGGGATTAGCACATTTGGCAAAAGGCCTGTGTGTCCTTAAGACCCTCAGGGGTGCCTGTCCCCAAAACAATCAAGACTTAGGAGGGAGGGGTCCAGACCAACTTGTATGGGGGTGGGGTCTACTTTCAAGTTCCTCCAGCTCTAACTGCCAATCCTTCCCACATTTTCTCTGCCTGGTCCCAAGTACACCTGCTGGCCATTCGCATTTCTCAAATACTGGGTGGGAGGTCACAGGAGAGACGTGGCTTAGCTTCTCAGCGAAGCCCCTGGACAGCCAGCTCAGCAGGCTCCTGTCTTCATGCCTAGAACACAACTCAACAGGAATGAACATGAGCCACTTCCTGGCAGTGGGTCTCTGCCCTTCCTCTGTGGACTGCAGGGTTTCGGGTTGGTTTTCTTTGCCCCCACCCCCAGGACTCCAGGGTTTTTATTAAAGAGAATAGCTTCAAAAGAGAGCTGGGTGCCTGAGTATTGTCTTGCATCTTTTCCACAACCTTCTCCAGGAGCCACTTACTGGACACCAACTGGCTGACAGTAGGGGTCTCTGAGCAGGTAATTGGAATAGGAGCAGAAGGCGACGGCTTGGCCGCTGAGACTGGGCTGGCGATGACCACACCAGGCTGGGGTATGGCTGGCGTGGGCTGGATGGACTGCACCTACGAGAAGAGAGTCAATAAGCCCTACTGCCCACCTGCCCAACGCACGGGGTGAGAGCCCCAGAGAGGCTGGGCAAAATCACGCACAAAGTCCTCACTCAGCACATGCCTGCCTGGGCCCTTGAATCAGAGAGTCCACTGTGTTATCACCCACCCAGTGATGACCTCTAGAATGAGTCCAGCAGTGGCCCTACTGCGTTGAGCCTCACAGCCACGTGCAGGCCCAGCCCTCTGAACAGGTCCTTATACTTGGTCAAAGCCCCCCCAGGTGTCCCTCCAGAGACCTGAGAAACCTGAACCCGACTCCAGCGTCGCCCGGGCCCCAGATGTGTGGGAATAGGGAATGACTTCTGGGACCTCCCTACAAGATACTCTGCACCCTCTAATAAAACAAGATGTGTCTCTCAACTACGGACATGGAAAGAGCTTTGAGTTACAGAGCTAAAGGCGGTACAGGGGTAATGAGGTGAAAAAAACATTAGGGAATAATTTCTTTTAAGAACACATGTGTATTTCCAGGAAAAAATCTTGAGGCATAACTAAAGCTGTCAACAAAAGCCATCTCTCTGGAGGTAAAATAAGAAGAGATTTTTAAACTGTACACATTTCATGGCATGTTGAAATTTTTATCAAATTTTTAAATCAAAACCCCATGTATCAGTTATAATCAGGAGAACCTATCAAGAAAATTAATATTTTTAGTATGATTTTTAAAAAAAAATTTCTGAAAACTGCAAGTTTCTCTGGGTTGGGCCCTGCGACCTGAAGTCCAGGCCTCTCTGCTCTCAAATCCATTCTTTCCTCAGGGGCATTGGCCTAAGTTCAAAGCTGCCTGCCTCTGGCTGGAACTGTTTATATTGCCCCTCACAGACAACAAAGACTCAAGTCCAGTTCTTGGCTCCACCTGAACAGAAAGAATTTATAAAAAGCTCATCTCAGTAGCCATTTCCCAGCTAGAAACCCCTCCTTGACTTCCCACTATAATATTAACAGCGACAACAGTAAAAACTGTTTCCAAGAGCTTTCTGGGCACCAAAGGGTTCGTTGCATTATGTCTAACTTCTCCTTTAACATTCGTAACTTTCTGGGCCTCCCTGGTGGTGCAGAGGGTTAAAGCACAGCACTGTGAAGCTGTCTGCAGCCACTGCAGCATGAGTTCGATCCCCGGCCAGGGAGTGACCCACACAGCGCAGCAGACCTCTCCTGTCTCCCCACTGCTCCCCTCACCTGTAGATTTCAGTCCATTTGCCTGTTCTGTTCCCCACTCTGTCTCTGATGAGTCCTCTTGCACCCCCTCACCTCTGGCCTGTACCCCAGTTTTCATATATGCATAAATAAATACCATATTCTCCACCTTACAGATGAAGTTGAGGTTATTCGCAAAGCTGGCAAGCAGCAACCACATTTGAGAACGTGACCTCTCAGCATCACCTGGGAGCTTTATAGAAATCGAATTCTTTAGCTGCACTCCAGAATTATGGAGAAAGAAACTGGGGTGGGGTCCAGGAATCAGCGTCCCAACAAGCCTTCCGGGGGCGTCCAAGACACACTCAAGCTTGACCGCTCTGACTTGGGCACACTGCGCTTCTTGCAATTTCTTAAAGGTTTGATACTCAGCCCTCCCTGGTGGCGCAGCGGGTTAAAGCACAGCACAGAGAATCTAAAGCCGCTTCCGCATGAGTTCGATCCCCGCCTGCCCCGGAGGTGACCACATGGCGCGGCAGACCTCTCCTGACCCGCCCGCTGCTCCCCTCAGCAGTGGACTTTGTCGATCTGCCTGTTCTGTTCCCCGCTCTGTCTCTAGTGAAGCCTCTCACCACCCCTGAGCCTCTGGCCTGTACCCCAGTTCTGTATGCACAAATAAATAAATCTTAAAAAAAAAAAAAAAAAAAGGTAAGATACTCTCTCTTCCAACTCGGTCCTTTACATGAATTCAGCGACCCTCCTCCATGAAGCCTTGCTGAGCTCCCCAGTCTGGACGCTCCCTTATCTGGGTCCCGAAGCACCGCTCAGGCCCCTGTCACACACGGTCTGTCACACCGACTGGCATCAGGCTCTGCAGCCGGCAGAGACCCGCCCCCTTCCTCGCTCTGTCTGCAGCACCTGGAGTACAGTGGGCTCAAAACCACAGTGGGGTGGAGGGTGGGTACAGGCCAGGGGGACGGGGAGAGGGGGTACGCAGCTGATCCCAGGGCCTGTCCAGCAGTGTGCTCACCCTGGAGTCCATCAAGGCCTAGCTTACCCAACCACCCTGGCCTTCTCAGAATGGTGCCAGTCTCTGAGGGCACGTGTGCATGTTTTGGTATGGGGGGTAGGGGGTTGGTGCTGTTTCCCTGGGCAGGGCAGGGTTGACACACGTAGGCCTTCGACCCTGGGACCTCACCTCACTTTGGGGAGGTGCCCTGTTTTCCCACAGGCTTCAGAAATTAATGCCCAGAGTCCGGAGGGAGTCAGCTCGTGCCAGACAGCACTGCCTACCTCCACCCCCCAACCCCCCTTGTACCTCACTCTTAGCTGGGCACTCAGGCGTGCTTGGCTTCCGGACAGCCACAGGCGGAGGCAGGGGGCTGCTGGCCAGGGTCGCAATCACCTGGCCTTGGGCATTCAACAACAGCTGCGGGGTCACAGCCTGGACCTGCAGGCTTTGGGCTGGTGCTGAGGCCGCCACACTGGCCGAGTTCACTACCCACGGGAGTGTTCCGATAACCTGGGGGGAAACAAGGCGGGGACCCCAGTGTGAGGGAGGGCAGCATCCATCTCCACCCACTCCAGTTCCCACCCTGGCGGGAGGACCTGGGCAATTCATCTAATCCTCCTGGACTTCACTTTATGCATCAGCGAAGTGAAGGAACCACATTCCGGAGCTGCTTCCTTAATTCTATTCCCAGACTCATGCCGGAGCAGGAATAGGCCCGCATTTTGAGTCAGACAGCCCCAATGTAAATCTCTCCTCCGCCAAGCTTTATCGTGAGGCTTGACTCCCCCGAACCTCAGCCTGCAGAATGGGAATAAAAATCTTCGCCTACTAGGTCTGGCTCTGCTCGAAAGGAAGTGAGATAATATGTGGGAAAACACCTAGCGCAGAACCTGGCCTTAAGTGAGTGTTCCACCAATAAGCCCCCAACTAGAGAGAGCACCTGTGGGGGGGGGGGTGCCTGAGCGCCTCCACACCAGCCACCAGCCCACACACCAGCCACCAGTGGCAGGACCAAGGTTTGGCATCTTGCTTGCGTTTCTACGACTCTCGGCCCAAGCTGCCCCCTCCCCTGGCTTCCCACAGCCCCCACCCCTCAGCCTTTGACCACTTGCCTGTCCCTGAGCGTTGGTGAGAATCTGACTGCTGATCCCCGGCATGCTGGGAATGGCGTTGGCAATGACCGGAGTTGTAGTGAGGGAGCCCAGGATCTGGGTCTGTCCCCCGAGGGAAGCAGCACTGATCTGTGGGTGGAGGAAGAGCCTTGCTCAGAGGCCAAAGGGTGAGAAAGAGCCCAGGGCAGAGAGGGAAGAGAGCTGGGGGCGTGGGGGGGGGAGCCAGGGCTGCTGTGAGGTGTGTGAGGCTGGCTGCAAGCCCGCGGCCGCCAGCCAAGTGGCATCCAGAGCTAGGGGCTGCCGACTACACGGGTCGGCAAGGGGGCGGGGGGGGGCAGTCATGGAGGAGAAACTCTGGCTAATCTTCCAGGCTGGAGGGCCCGAGGTGCTTCCAGTCCCATCGCACTGCTCCACGCCGAGCCAGGGGCCCCCTTGCACGGACCCGGTAGGGTGCGGGCCTCTAGCTCCACTTTAGTGGCAATTCGTAAGCCGGCGATCTCCAGACATCACCCCACCCTCCGAGTGGGGTGGTCCAGTGGTTCAGGTTCTAGAGAACTGGCCTAACCCCCTGGCAGAGGGCGTCTGGGACGGATGGGTGGGCAGCGGCAAGGAGAAGGCCTCAGAGGGAGCCCGCCTCTGCTGATGTGTCGGAAAAGAGTCGCATTCTGGGGGGCTGGTCCCCCACCGCCTTCCTCCCCTTTAGGAAGGCTCAGCACCACCCTTGGCCCAGGATGCAGTCCATCCATGGTCAGTCCTGGGTGAGGGCAGCGGCTTACTATTCCTGGGCTAAACGCGAAGCCTGCAGGCTGGACGGTGATCTGCGGGGGGGTGTCCACCGGCTTGGGGGTGGGGGCAGCGGCGGCGGCAGCAGTGGGCTGCGGCAGAATGGCCGGCGTGGTCTGCAGCAGCGGCTGGGGCTGGAACAGCGGCTGGGGCTGGGCTGGTGGTGGCCGCGGCTGGGCGGGCGAGGAGGCCTGGACCGGCGGGGCGGCTTGGACCGGTGCCGGGAGCGCAGCGTTCAGCACGGCAGCTGCTACGGAGCAAGAGACAGGTGCTCAAATGCCTAGCTGGGCCCGGCGGCTCCATCCCGGGGGGGTCTGGCACAAGCCTGAGGGGGTGGGCGTAGGACAGGGACAGAAGCTGCGATTCCCTTGATCCTCGCAGGCACATGTCACCAGCTCTCATCCCCCCTCCCTTGGGCCTGGAGCGGTGTAGGCTCAAAACCAGGAGTTGAATCTTCTTGCAGTCTTTCTCAGGAGGCTGGTCATGGGGTGCACTCTGGCGTGGGGGGAGAGGGGCAGTCTCAGACATCTGGCTGAAGTAAGAGAGGCCTCTCGGGCCAGCAGGGTGCCATGGCCTAGAGGCCTGAGGTGGTGCAGCAGGTCTGTGGCCGGACGCCCGGGGCACTGGATCCAGACTCCAGGGCTGTCACCCCGAGGGCCGAGGGTTGAGTCCAACATGGCAAGCACACGTCAGGGATGGTGGTGTAGGGTGGTGGGGGGCCTGGTGCAGTCCTGGGGAGAGTTGCTGTTACCTTGGAGACCGGCTAAAGGTGGCTTGAAAATTCCCCCCGTGGGAGAAGCAGCGGTCAGTCCTGGGAGGCCAGCCACGGTTGCTGTAGGAATTGTCCACACGGCCAGCCCCTGCTGACCAGCCACTTGACCTGCAATACTGATGGGGATAAGAAGAGGTTGAGTAACTGCCCCTGCTGGAACCATAACTCCTGTCAGAACTGTGGCTAAGTTTTCCTGAGTCAAGACCTGCAAAAGCAAACAAGATTTCAAAAAGAAAAGAAAAAATAAAAAATCAACATCGACGGCACAAACGCTGGGTCTCTTAGACCCAGCTGAGCACAAATAAAGCATTCTGAGGGCAGTGGGGGAAGGCCACCGAGGGCGAGGGCGAGGGCGGGGGGGACAGGAGCCCCAGCTGGAGGTCCAGCCCTGAGGGGGTGCCTGGACCTCGGGATTCTGCTTGCAGAGAAGCAGCCCGGGTGGGGGCAGGGCCAGCCTCGCTCACGGGACAGCAGAGGGTGCACAGGTCTCTTCCGCCTCGGGCTGCTGCCTCCCAAACCTTCCTGGCTCCTTGCTCCCAGGGCCAGTGCTTTGTGGTCAGGAAGCTGGGGGCAGGGTCATTTGCAACCAGTGGACAAGGGCCCACAGAGGCGCCCAGGATGCTCTGAGGGAGGATATAGCCCTGGAGGTGCCTCAGAGACCCATGCATGTAACAACTGGTCACAGGGAGCTCAACACGCCTGGAGGAGCCCAGAAACAGCTTCTCTCTGGCTTGGGGCAGCCCTCTGGCTCTAAGTGAGGGCTGTGCAGAACCCCGGCATCAACTCTTCCCGGCATCCACCAGGGGACTGACAAAGTCATCTAAACTCACTGAGATAAACAGCAAGGCAGGGGGCATGAAAGAGTTAATGTCGCCCCTGCAATCGTTGCTGGACCTAAGGTGACTGTCTACCTGGCAAAGGCAGATGTCCTCTTTGCAAGTGGGCCTGATCTGGGACAGGGAGGAGGCCGGGGTGCCTAGCAGGAGACCCCCTCTCTCGAGCCACGGCCCCTTCCCGTGAGGTTTCCAGATCCCATGGAGAGCCCACCTTAGCTGTCCCAAGCCTCGCTCCTGCCCACTGCCCTCTGTCCAGCTCCCCGGGGTGGCCCTTACCTGGGGGGCAGCTTGTACAGCCAGTGGTGTCAGGGTCTGTGATGCCTGAGGCTGGCTTGGGGCTTGGCTGAAGGTGGCGACTTCGGGGGCAGGGCTCGGAGGGACCCCAGGGAGTGACTTCACTTCATGTGGCGTTAAGAAAAAGAGGACAAGGAGTGAGTCTGGTGTGAGCGAAACAGAGAGGAGAATGTCTTGTTTGCAGCTCCAGGTAGCTACTCTGAGCTTCACACTGTACTTCTGCTTGACCTGAGACCAGTCACTGGCCTTGCCTGGCCCAGTGGGCAGCTTCCCAGGGCTTCTGGTTGGAGGTTGGAGAGCTTGTGCCACATCTGGAAGGTCGACCACCTCTTCCCACTTCTGGACAAGGGGAGTGCAAGCCTCCGCACGGTGGAGGGTCTGTCTCTCTCACTTTTTTTTAAAGATGTATTTATTCATGCATATAAGAACTGGGTACAGGCCAGAGGTACTGAGGTGTAAAAGGATTCACCAGACACAGAGTAGGGAGCAGAACAGGTGGACTTACTGAAATACACTGCTGAGGGGAGCAGCCGGATGACAGGAGAGTCTGCCGTGCCCTGTGGGTCACTCCCTGGCTGGGGATCGAACTTGCTCTGCAGTGGCTGTGGCCAGCTTCATAGCGCTGAGACTTAACCCATTGCGCCGCTAGGGAGGGCCTGTCTCTCACTTCTTGTCTTTATTCAGGCACTGACACGTCACACATCAGTAAAAGAGCCCAAACTAATGTGTGTCAGGAAGAGAAAGAACCAGACTCAACGGGAGCAGCTTCTGAAGCTCACCAGCAACTGGGCCATTGCCCTCCCTTCCTTTAGGCTGTTCTGGATCCAAGTATTGGCAAAGGGAAGGGGCGGAGACCCCTACAGGGGAAGCCCCAGAAAGGACAGAAAGTCAGAGGTGACTTTGCCACACTCAAGATCCCCCTGGCTCTTCAGACCAGGCAGCTTTGCTCTGCCGGTCCCTGAGAGCTGAAATCCAGATGTGCAATTTCTAAAGGAACTTCCTGTGAACCCAACTTTTTCTTCTAGGTGATAGCTTCCCATCGCTGCCTTGCTGTATTCAGGTGTGGGGACCCCTACCCTGAAGACTATTCAAAACCATACCAACGAGCAACAGAATTTAATATCTAGTTAGGAGTCTATGTCCTGGGTGATGGGTGTCAGACCAGGTCAGTGACCCCTCACAGATCTCTAGCCCTAATCTAGGCCTGTTGAATCAGAATGTCAAGAGTGGGAAGGCCAGCAACCTCGCCCCTCTTCTTTCTGTTAAACTCTCCTGTGATACAGCTAACAAAGAGGATGTAGACAAACCCCATCCCTGTCTTCCCAGCTCATGTTTTATTCCAGAGAAGCGCCAACCTAGCTCAAGACTGCCGTGACTGTGGTTAGAAAACCCAGATTCTCCAAGGAGTTAGAGACAAACAATGACAGCAGAAACCCTATAAAATACGAACACGAAATAGCAGGGAAGACACATTTCTAACCATGGGGGAAACTTGGAGAAGATAAACCTACACAAATTTAAAGCATTTTGTTTGAGGAACTAAGTAATGAAACAGAAAAGACCAAGAAAATAAGAACGTGACAATGGACGGGAATGATAAAAGCTTAGCCGAGAGTGAAATGTTCGCTTTATTAGGATATGTCTGCAAAGCTGGACCATGGGGCCCAAAGGGTCCGATACAATGAGGGCTTATGGCACTCCCAAGGAGGCAGCTTTCCAGCCAACTCAAAGGGCCACCACCAGCAGGCCACAGGTAAGTGGTTCCCATAGTCAAATACTTTCCCCTGTCACGGAGAACAAAATTTGGTGTTTTCTGGAGCTTCTTTTGTGGCACAGGGGTTAAAGACAGCACTATGAAGCTGTCTACAGCCACTGCAGCATGAGTTCGATCCCCGGCCAGGGAGTGACCCACATGGCTCAGCAGACCTCTCCTGTATCCCCGCTGCTCCCCTCAGCAGTGGATTTAGTCAGTACATCTGCCTGTTCTGCTCCCCACTCTGTCTCTGGTGAGTCCCCTCACCGCCCCCACCCCCGCACCTCTGGCCTGTACCCCAGTTCTTGTATGCATAAATAAATAAATCTTTAAATACATTTTTTTATTTTCCCATATGATAACCTCCTCCTACTATGAACAATTGATTTCTCTTCAAAAGAAATTTGAATGGACCTCAAAGGAAAAAGAAATATTAAAAGACCAGTACAGAGACGTCAGAGTTGTGCTGTTCATGATGTGAGAAACCATTCAGTTTGTCAATAACCGATGTCATCATGGAAACAGGCACATAAAATAGCAGTGTCCCACCACACCGCCTCGGTGGCCACCACTGTGAAATGTGTGTGTGTGACAAAGATGAGGCCGCGATTTTGTTCTGACTAGTAATTTAGTGCGAGACAAATCACTCGTTTTCATCATGAAAGTTTCCACTAGATGAGCTTGTAGAGGAAACGCTTCTTCATCTTACAGACCTAAAAGTGTTCCACCGCGGCCCCAGTCTAAGATGACAGCTTCTGAGGAGGCACCATGGGATACCCACCTGCCTCGCTTGACGCTCACTAAGCTCCTCACAGAGACTGTCACGGAAGGCCTGGACACGAGCCTCCAGGAGGCGGGCACCAGCATAAGCTCCCACGCTACAGTGCAAATAATTAAGTGAGGCTCCATCTCGGAGAGAGGTTTGGATAAAGAGCAGAGTTACTGTGCCAAGAGAAATGAGATGGGGGCCCTCCCTGGTGGCGCAGCGGGTTAAAGCACAGCACTGAGAATCTAAAGCCGCTTCCGCATGAGTTCGATTCCCGCCTGCCCCGGAGGTGACCACATGGTGCGGCAGACCTCTCCTGACCCGCTCGCTGCTCCCCTCAGCAGTGTACTTCGTCCATCTGCCTGTTCTGTTCCCCACTCTGTCTCTGGTGAAGCCTCTCACTGCCCCTGAGCCTCTGGCCTGTACCCCAGTTCTGTATGCACAAATAAATAAATCTTTTAAAAAAAAAAGAAATGAGATGGATGAAAGGATGGAAAGGGCTGAACCTCCCAAGTGTTCTGAAAAGATGTTCCACCCCCACACTGGAAAGGAAGAGAAATGATGGCAGAAACACAGAGGCTGCAGCCTCCCTGCCTGGTCTCCGAAACACAGGTCCACGGGGATAGTACTGGCCATTCTGACCGAAGTGGTCAGGTTTTTTGTGATTCCTTTATTCAAAAGGAGGAAAAACAACCTAAGTTTCTAGGGTCCCACATGAATCTGCGTTCTGGTTTGCAGGTAGAGAAGGGATAGACGTTTTCTGGTTAAGGACGTGCTGTGTCCCTGAAACTTGTCTGTTCTCACTTGTTCTCTTCTTGGTTCCTGCTCCGGGCCCAACCCCAGCAGCCCGGATCTCTAATGTAGGGAGATAAGAGGAGAACTGCATCGCATAGTTCCGGGGAAAGCGAGAAGGGAGGCTTCAAGAAAAGATGCCTATTCTGCAAGGGGTGATGAAGAAAGAGTGGCCGGTGCTCAGCCACAGGCTCCATTATGGCTCTGGCTGAGTGATAGGTGTCCTGAGGAGACCTGGGGGACATGATGTGGGTGCATCAGCCATATCCATTCTCCCTGCAAAGACTCAAACTCACTTCGTCAATCTCAAGCTCAAAGGTCATTTTTGGAGAACAGTACAAATAAGTCCCCCAGGTTTGACTCATGCCAGCCCAGGCTTGGGAATTCTCCCAGGTCCTACTTAACCCCCATCTTTAGTCCAAGGTAGGTAAGATCCCCTCCCATCTCCAGCTCCGGGCACGCCCCAGGTCTGCCACAAAAGTAAGAAGGGCTGGCAGGACCCTGAAAATCTAGTGTTCTCTGCCATGGGCCTAAGGTGAGTCTTAGACCAAGGAGCCCTCTCTGCGATTAATTCACCCTCCTCATTTGAGCTCAACACTCTCCTCCCACCTCACCCTGATCATCCCCATTTAAATGACTGAAACCAGAACTCAAGTTCTGTGGGCGATGAGTGTAGTATCCCAAGGAGCTGAGCAAAAGTACAGGCTATGGCCAGAAGCTATCTAGTGGAAAGAAAAACACGAAGACCCTGAAGCCACCTAGTCCCCAACAGGTCATGCTGGCCCTCCAGGGGGACCACAGGAAGGAACTCGGGTAGGACAATGCCAGATGTGAACAGTGGTCTCGTACCAGTCGCCTCTGCAGAGGAGTCTGGGTTGTCTGACCCTCCTGCAGCACCAGGCTCACTGGCTTCAGGTGGGCCTCCGCTCTGGGAGCCCTCAATGGCCACCCCCTCCAGACCTTTGCCCTCCTCCTCAGCAGGGATCTGGGCATCCACTCCAACTTCCAGCACTCGAATGGTCTCATGGCCTGACATCACGATGACCTGCAAACAGAGGACAAGGGACACTTCTGTGGGGAAGGGCAGGTTGAGCTGGGGGGTGGGTGGGGTGAGGTTGGTTGGGGATACCGACCTTCTGTCCCTGGGACAGGTGTTCTGTGAGAACTCCAGAGCCTGGGTAGCCTACAGCTCCCCGACTCCCAGGGAGGGGCTGCTAGGAGAAAGTAGGGCTGGTAACACCAGCTGGAAAGAGCCCTGTGGGGCCGACCGACCCCCTGGGGATGTTTCTGCTGGCTCCCGCAGTTGGACAGTCCAGGAATGGCCAGTGGGTCACCCCACAGGCTCTCAGGGATTACGCCCCGGCTACCAGGACACTGGAGCGTGGCCATGAAGGCCTCGCCGCAGTGTCCACAGCTTAAGCGGGGTCAAGAAGCAAAGCTCTCTTCACTTTCCTTGAAACCCTGGGGAAGTTCCCTCAGAGATAAAGGAATGAAAAATGAATGAACACTCCGCAATGTAACTTTTTAAATCTCACGATTACTTTACTCTGGGGTAAAGGCCAAGATTTCCTTGCAAGCTAACTTCTTGAAATTAGAGTCAGGAATCTTGAAGATGGAGACTCTCCTCCTTCCACCCCCAGCCTGAACCTTGATGCCCGGAGGCGGGAGGGTTTGTCAGCTCCGCCTGTGCGTATGCTCAGACCCTGACTCCACGCCCGCCCTCGGAAGCAGGGCCCCGGCCCTGGGCCTCCACAGAGCTTTACCCAGCTAGGCGGCCGACGCTGAGCTCTGTACCTGCAGCGCTGAATGCTTCTCTTAACAACATCCAAGAATCAGGACATGCTGTACATTAAACAGCTCTGTGTCCAAAAGCCCTGGGCTTGGCCTGTGCCCTAAGTCACTCCCATGGCCTGAAAATTGGATCCAGCTAGAGATGCTAATGGAAGGAGTGACAATTTGGCCTGGCAGGGGCGTAGGAGTGAAATAACTCCTCAAAGCAGCTCCTTTTCTGACTCAAACTTGACCTCTAAGGGGCTTCACACAAATAACATTTCAAGAGATTCTCATCTTTATTTTCCTTTTTCAAAGTATCTAAGTAATAAATGGTCACTGCTGGAAAAAACTGAAAACGTGTATGTGAGCAGACGGAAAGTGTAAGTTACCCATTGAGCAAGTCTGTCCCCCCCTCCCCTAGGCTTATTCATATGGGTACATTTTACTTTCACTTTTTTTAAGTCTCAGCTTCAATCCCCAAGATCAGCCTTGGAGAAAGGCTAGCTGCCAGCTGCATCTGGAGATGCGAGTCACCCTGAACTTTGATAAGAAAGAAATGAGGGGCTCTGAGCACTCCTCCCCCACGCCCTTAGTACATCCTCTTCCTGCCCCAAGATACCTGCTCGTTGACAGTCAGAGACGACTCTGGCCCGGCGCCAGGATCCATGGTCCCTTGTTGATGTGGGCAGCCCACACCTAGCACATCCTGTGGTGAGACGGGTGGGAAAAACATAGCCAATGTGACGCCGTCATACAACTTGCATGCCAGCTAGAGGACTCAGAATTACAATGGCAAGAACAGAGAAGATAAGTTTTCTCCCAAGTTGCAACAGAAGTAAAGGGAGCAGGATTCTAAAAACTTAAAAATTAAAGTGTCTCAGCATGGGTAATATGCTCTCTGGGCATCCTGGTTTGTCCAGGAAAGGCTGAGCAGGCTTCTTGGGAGAGAAGGTAAAGATAGGAATCATACATTGTACAAAAATGAAGGATGATGCTATGAATATATTTAAAATTAAAAAAATATATATTCTCAAACTTTAATGCACAGGATGATCTCCCGGAGCACTACTGACACAGGGCAGAACCCCAGCTTCCCCTGCAAATATCCCCAGAGAGTTTGATGCAGCAGGTGGGGCCCAGGAAATCAGTTTTGAGGGGATGCCACAGTGATGGCTGAAGGCTCATGCAGTCCCTTAACCCCGGAGGCAGGACAGGCTCCCAGAGGGGAAGCCGCTGCCCAGGCAGTGAGGAGCCGAGCGGTGGCTTCTGGGAGACGCAGGTTCTCTGGCAGGAGCCAGACCACGAGGTCACGAGACAGAGAAACAGGGCAAATGGCTGGGCGCTTACATAGAAAAGAAAGTAAGCAACTGGCATCTGTTTTGTGCCTTGTATGTAACACTCACCCAGGAGCCACTCAGGCCAGCTGGGTGCAGCGTGTCCTGGATTCGGCACCTTCCCCTGCTCATCTGCTTCTACCCAAGGTCGTTTGTTTCCTTTTAAAATCATTTAATTTGGGGCCCTCCCAACGGGGTGGAAGGCAGCACTGTGAAGCTATCGGCAGCCAGTGTTCGGTCTGCTTGTCCTGCTCCCCGCTCTGTCTCTGGTGAGTCCTCTCACTGCCCCTGCACCTCCGGCCTGTACCCTAGTTCTGGATGCATGCATAGGTAAATCTTTTTAAAAAATCGCTTTTAATTGATTCATCGAACATAAAATCCACCCTTTTAGCCAATTTAAAGTGTATTGGTTCAGTGGCTTTGTTGTGCCATCACCATCCTTCAGCTGCAAAACACTTTCATCACCCCACGAGGAAACCTGGTGCCCAAGAGCAGTGGCTCCCTTTTCCTATGGACCCCGGCAGCTCATTTGCCTGGTTTCTGTGGGTTCACCTAGTCCCAATATTTCATATGAGTGGGACCACACGGTAGGTGGCCTTTCTGTCTGGCTGCTTCTACTGAGCAGTGTCTTCAAGAGTCATCCATTCTGTAATTGTATCCAGGCCTGATGTTTGAGCTTGCTGCACTCCCTGGGGATGGCAGGGGGAGAAGTGAGCCAAGATTTCATTTCCAGGATGAAAACCCATCAGACCCAACTGTGATTTTACCCAGCGCTCCACAGGCCTGAGCCAACCCACCATTTCCGTACACAAACAACTCAGGAGCAAGCTGGGGTGCAGCACTGAGCCATGGACACAGGCAAACACGAGTCTCCTCCAGTCCCCTGGCAGCTTGGCCAAACCCCAGCAAGAGGAGGAAGAAGGACACCAGCTGGACCAGCACCATCAGCAGAAGGAACACGCTCGTTCTTTCAAGACAAATGTAAACACAGAAACAGTGGATTTGAACAAGCACGGAGTTGAAGAATCCCTTCGAGCACACCGATGCTCAAGAATCAAATCGCGGACGCCGGAAGGGGCTCCCGAGTGGGTCTGTGAATGGGGCTGCCTGAAAGGCAAAGCTGAAGAAGGCCTTTTGAAGGCTAAAACTCGTCAAAATGTAGAGCTCAAAGAAGGGCCCGTTCCAGTTACAGCTGTTGACACCGAAGGGGAGAAGCTGCAGGTAACTGGTGCTTGGAGAGTCCCAGTCAGTTCTGTGGGCCGTAGGGCTGAGGGGAGCGAGAGCCCCAGCCTGGCCAAGTTGGGGATTAGATGACAAATGGCTACATGGTAACAGAGATGAGGAATTTATCAATGCTTCATTCAGGAATTTATCGATACTTCATTCATAATGTTTTCTCTAGACTATTTTTGATGAGAACGGCCACTTAATTAAAAGACACATTTTACAGAGAAGATCTATAACCATTAGTACCATTGATGATGATGATGAACAGCAAGGTAGGGAACTCAGTTATATAAACATAAACCAAGTTCTAAAATATAAATTTAATAGTTTGAATAAAGTTGCCAAGAAAACTTGACAATTAAAGAAATGCAAAAAAAAAAAAATTAAATTATGCTTTTAAGGGTTGGGACAATTCTGGAAGTGTAGTTCTCCCAGATTTGGGCTTAGGGCAACGTTCCAGGATGCCAGGAGGAACACGGGGAGTGTCCCACACAAATCAGAGTCACTAGCACAGCCCAACAGTCTACTGGGAAACACCCTGAAATGATTGGTCTTTTGTTTATTGGACAAATACCTCAGTGGCTACTATGTGCTGGTCTTTGGGGATCTAATAGGGGAAGAAAGCGTACCCCACCTTTGCTAAAAGCTTGCAGCTTAATGTGGGAATGAAGGAAATAAAAAGACAAATACCATACAGTGTGTCTAAGGGCCACAGTGGGGAGTCGAGGGTGGCAGAGGATCGCGGGGGGCACACCCACTGCAGGCTTGCATGGCCCTCGTCCCCTGGCTCACACATAAATGCGCTCAGACATAGATGTTTGTACACAAAGAATAGCGCGCCTTGTAGAGGAGCGTGGGACCTGTTGTATGGGGCTCAGATGTTTAACTCGGACTTATTTCTGTGGTTTCCATCCCTCCCTTAACACTCATTGTGGGTGAGGTTTTCAAAGGATAAAGTACCTTCTCGTTAGCAGTCATCTTTTTTTGGGGGGGAAGGGCACTCTGAATCAGTAGCCTCCAAGGGATGACTAGTTAAGCTGAAATTGATTTTAATAGTACTCAACTGAAAATCATGCTTGTGGTGGGACATCACCTTCCCTATCTTTGACATCAGCTCTTCTGGTCAACACAACTCTTCTATTTCAATTGTGCGCCCACTTACTGCCTGCAGAACAGTCTTCCAGAAAGGCTATGGGCGCAGGAAGCAGGAGAGTAGCGTGGGTTGGTACCTGCGGTTCTTCACACCCTCCCTAGATGGTCTCACCCAGCACCAAATCTCTATCTCCAGCTTGAAACCCCTCTGGAAACTTCAGGCTCATATATTCAACTGCCCAACACGTGCTGGTAACACCTCCTACTCACTGAGTTCAAGCCCACACTCCTCATTCCCACCTGAAATTTGTCTACCTGCACGCCACCTTTTGGATCTCAGCAAATGGCAGCTTCAGCCTTCCCCAAAAGCTCCTGCCAACGGGGTCATCATCTTCGCCTTCTTTCTCCTACAGCTCTGATTCACGCCTCAGCAAATCCTGTGGCCGCTCCCTTCTCCCTTCCCAGGATCCCCCATCTCTTAACTCACTGCCCTGGTGCAGGAACAACACACAATACAGCCCTGCTCACGCCAGCACCCTCTGCCCTCCTCTTAAACTGCAACTCCAGGCTGACCAACCGCCCTTCCAGGGGGCCACTGTCTGATGGACTCCCTCCATGTCCTCCCACCCGTCTCCATTGCTGGCCCCAGGACACAGATGTCCCTTCTTACCTCCTGAAGAATAATCACCATTGATAGTTTATTGGAACCAGGCCCTTAAACACAGGGCCTGGCTGAGCACCCTCTGAAGACAGACTGGGGGTTCGCCATTTCACCTTTGGGATTTATAAGCTGTGGGATTTGGGACAAATCCTCTGTGCCTCAGTTTCTTCATCTGTAAAATGAGAATAATAGCACCTGTTCTATAAGGTTATTGTGAGGACTGAATGAATTCATGCATATAAAAAGTTTCCATCACTGCCTGGTAACATGCTTAGAAATGGCAGGGACTCTAAGAATCTACATATACTGTCTTGCTTCAATTTAGAGTAACAGTTAAGAATCTAAATTCAACTGTCAGTTCCACCATTTCTTAGCAAAGACCTCACCGCTCCTTGTATTTAATGATGCGGTAACTGTATTTGAAATGGGGAGCATTAAGATTTCAATAAATGTTAACTGTTATTCAAGTCTATTACGGCCCCTAGCAGAGCATAGAGCTCAGTAATTAACAGCTACTGAAGCTTGGCCAATTGTGTGACTGTCTCCAGGTGGGCACTTGTTTATTTTTTTAAAGATTTATTTATTTATGCATTCAGAACTGGGGTCCTGGCCAGATGTGATTG